GCTGCACTGGATATCCTACAGTTCCTCATCTTCTGCCTTCCCTGGTAATAGAAGACAAGAGAAACTGTTTGTCCTGCTAGATATTTGGTCTATGTTCTCTCTAATCAGCACAAACATTAGCAAGAGACATTGACACAGTGCCTAAGATTTGGAGCGTGAATGATAACAACTGCTAAGGTCAGAGTGTTGGAATGTACTCTGTACAGAGAATTCACTCATATCTGGAATCAAGACAGCTACAGCAATTTAGTAGACATGAATCCTAAGTGGTTTGGAAGCGCTATGTGAGAAGAATTTAAGAACCGGCCCCAAGGATGGATCAGGCCAAAGGTCATCTAGGCACAGTAGCCAATTGAATGGATTTGAGAAGCTCACAAGCCCAGCCTGTCTCTTTCCATTGTCCCTTCCCAGTAAACATATCAAGCTGCCTATGATTCAGGAGCTAGTAGACAGCCATTATGGTAGTACAAGTAGCCACTGAAAATTTGATTCTCTGTGAACAGAGCCTCCCCTGAAAGCCATTCAAACTGACTACCATTCTTGCAATTGGTTAGCAAGAATGCTTCAGTTTCATTTTACAAAGCTATTTAAATCTGCCACTCCTGAATCCTATTAATTTAAGTGAATAGTGGCAACTTTCAAAACTGTGAGAGAAGGAGAAAAACTTCTTTCTCTCCAAATTTTCAAATATTTTTTTCCTTGCTATATTGAAAGACTCATAATTTGAAGCCCAGCCTATGTACTGTCAAAAAGTCAAAAGTCTAGATCTGTTCCTCAAGCCTCCAATAAAAAGGTCTCCATTTAATTTCAAAGAGTCATTACTGATGAAAGCAGGGAGTGCCTCATAAATGATTGGACAGTCCTGGTTAAAGACTGAGACAATGTTCCAGAAAATTGGAATGGCACACCTGAAAGGCCACCTCTGCTTTTATTTATGATACATACTGACCACTGGAATAGTCAGGAACCTTAACGCAAATATTGTTTTCTTTTTCTGGGCAACTGGCTGGACAAGTCCCTCCAGAATTCTTGGCAAGATAGCAGAAGTGCTTTTTGCTATTGCCTGCTTCCTAGAGCTGAGGGAAAAGCTGGACTAGAATTCACCCTCTCCCACTACATCAAATTGGCTCTTTTTTTTCACTACAATGCTTTATTTAAAAAATGACTTATATTTTCACCTTTAGGCTTGAATTTATCATAAACTGAAGTTACCTTGTAGCTCCATATCCAATTCCCTCTCTGAGCAACTGAAAGGAGAAAGCTTTCATAAGCTGCACAGGGAACTACTTTTCTCAGAAAATCAATATCATAAGATAGAAGAGGGAAAGTCTTGTTTCAAAGTTTCCTTAGGAAATTTTCTGGCTATCAAGTATCCTTCTCTAAACTAATACCAAGATCCCTCCTTTTCTTTTCCTCTTTAACATTTCTACGATTAAAAAAACCCCACATACTCTAATTCTGATGCTGTATCTGCATGTGCTGAAGTTCTCTTATAGCAGGGGTGTCAAACTGCTGGCCCGCGGGCCGGATGCGTCATGCTGAAACCACACCCACCCCATTGCTGGTAATGGAGAAAAAGTTGTGATACTTCACGACACATCATGTGATGTTGTGAGTTTGACACCCGTGTCTTATAATATTTCCACCGAACCAAATGTGTCTGAGTCTAGGGAGTGGTGCTCAACTCCGTTTCTTAGCCGAGGGAGCCAGTGTTGTCCAAAGACATTTCCCAGGTCCTGTGGCATGACAATATACCTACCAAAGTGATATCTATTTATGTACTTGCATTTGCATGCTTTCGAACTGCTAGGTTGGCAGGAGCTGGGGCAAATAATCGGAGCTCACCCCGTCATACTATTTGGGTCTCAAACCCAGCTGACAAGCTCAGTGTCCTTAACTGCTGAGTCATTGCACCCCCCAATAGCAACAATAGAGCGATAGATATTGACAGTTTATTCTCTCCAGATGGGTTCTCACATAATAACCGAAGCTTCAACACTATCTGAAATACAGTTCACAGAAACTCAGACTGTAAGTACCTTTTGCTATAGCATCACTGTAAGTGGCCAGGGAAAATTTCTGTGTGGCCTGAAAGTGGTAGGGGATAACTTCTACACAGGCAAAGGCCATGGGCTAATATTAATTCTTGATGCCATCTTTTAAGCAGGTTAGAAAAGAGCAGCCCAAAATACCTTTAATTTCGGAGAACATAATAAACGAAGGCCAATGTTTAGGGAATTCCTACTGCAGCATTAACTCTGCCTTTCGGTATTCCATATTTTGCTACAGAACAAAGAAAACAGCCAAAGTGTAAGCATTTGTCATATCACCCATTTAAATTTACCTCAACATTTTTAGTGGGAATTTTAAAGGTTTGCGTAGCTCAAATAGCATCTTGATGCATTGTTGAGCAATGCTAAAGGAAATGTAATGTCAGCTGAAAACTTAACATTAAAGGAGACTGACATAAAAGAACACATAAACTGAATTTTAAAAATAAAAATAAATAAATAAGGGCCAGCTCTTGAAATCTTCTCAAATAACATTATCAACCCTCCTGAACTAATAGTAATACTAGCATCATAATTTATGCTAGTGTTATAGATAAGAACAGCTAAAAGATATTTTAATGTTTTGGGCAATTCCCTGACAAAAATCAGCAAACAATGGAGTCTTAACAATCAAATTATTTTTACAGTACAATACAGAATTTCATTACTAGATGTCAGAGGCAAGCAATTTCACCTTACACAGTTATGAAAAATTAGGTCCCTAAAGACAACTAACAAAGGAAGTCATCCATGTGTAAAAGTAACCTTGTCTGCGTGTGCAGTTAATGGTGATATAAATCTGAGTACATAGTTTCACTGATACCAAGAATCATCATGTGCAAACTGTTAAATAAATATGGATGAGGATGTTTTTAGCATCGATAATCACACACTGTGAAACTATGTGTATATATTGGAATTCCATATCTTTGTTACTGCCATTGTTACTAAAAACCAAAATATCAAAAGCTTGGGGAAAAGAGGTAAACAACTACATGTTCAGTTTTTATCTTTATTACAAACCTTTCTAGGAGATGCATTTGAATGAGCACTAAACAGCACTTTCCCTTATACGTGAAGAATGCTAGAAAGACTGTTTATGTGAGAAGGAAATTATATGTTTGAAAGCCTTTCTATGTATTTAGAAACACTTTTTAAAAAAGACATTTCCTGCAAGACAAAAGTGCCAATACTTTCGAAATTAAACACTGAAATCTAATGAAAAAAAAATATGCCATTAATCAATTTTCAACTATAGTCAGTCCTCGATTTACAACCTTAATGGAGCCTGCTCATTGCAGTCATAGCTCTTGATGGTCATAAAGCAGGTCATGACAAGACCAGACCTGTTTTTACTACTTTTTTGTGGCAGTCATTAAGTGAACCCATTGTTCACTATGGGACATTTTTTTCAAAAATTGGAAATAAATGCGGCTATAATCACAGTCATATGACTGACTATGGGATGTTGCAAACAGCCATAAATGTGGACCAGTTGCTTATATTTCTTATGTTATAATTTGTATTAAAGAAATTTTAACAAGGTAAAAACTAAGAGAAATAAATAAAAGGAAAGAATAGTAAATTATGGAAAAAATAAAACAGAAAAGGAAATAGAAAAGAAGAAAGAAAAATAAAAAGTAACATTATAAAGAATCAGCTTCTGATCTTTGTGACAGCAGTTATAAATTTTTACTTTGCCCTTTCTCTCTATGGTTACATCATAATGTTCTTCTTTCCATAAGCTACCCTTTCTAATCTTCAAACTCATAAATCACAAGTCCATTTTTCTCTTTTTTTCAGCAAAAAAAAATACAAGGGGTTTTCAGTCATTAATAAATATAGCTGTTGATCTTTCTCTAATCAAACAGGTTCATCTTGCCATTTCTGCTAGTTCTGTCAACTTTACCAACCATTCTTCATTGTGGGTATTTCAAAGTCTTTTCATTTTGCACATTATAATGTCATAAGAGTAATCATGTATTTTTTAAAAAAAACACTTCCATGTCTCTTTTCTAATAGACTTCCCATTAATCCCAGCAAGAAAAATTCTGATTTGAATTAAATATTGATCTTTAAAATTATTTCTATCTCAACCCAGACATTTCTTGTTTTTGGCAAATCCACCAGGTATGCCAAAAGGACCCTTCATGCTGTTTATGTTTCCAACATAAATTTGAAGTACTCATTTCTCATGTAAGACTGCATATGAAGCAACAGATCTTTAACCAGAGACATCAGTCCTAAAGCTTGCCAGAATTTTGGTCATTTCACTTCCATTTTTGAGATGCAACGAACTTAAAGTAAACTAAGTGCATTAATTAATTAATTACTGCAGGCTTGATGCCCTCTTTCAATTTTTTTATCCTGCCCTTATTATTTTTATAGATAACTCAAGGCAACAAACATACCTAATACTGCTTCTTTTTCCTATTTTCTCCACAACATCAACCCTGTGAGATGAGTTGGGTTGAGAGAGTGTGACTGGCCCAAAGTCACCCAGGTGACTTTCATGCCTAAGGTGGGACTAGAACTCCCAGTGTCCTGATTTCTAGCCTGGGGTTGTAACTACTCCATAAATGTACACACAATGGGAAAATCAGGGTCCTGTTTATCTTATAATTTGCTTCTGAAGATCTGAATCTCAGAGGAGTCCAATTACCAAACAAAAAATAACTGAGAAGCTAAGTGTTGCCTAAGGATAATGGGTCTAGGAAGTTAAGACAGTATATGGACTCCAGCTACTTCCACAGCAGACAATCAGAAGCCCACAATGCCTTAGCAATGCCTAAGTAACTAATTACGTGGGACAAACACACTCTGCCTCTAGTCTACCACTCACCTCTTCTACCAAGACTGCAATTTTAGAGACATAGTGCACTATATTAGCAAGCATAGGCTGCTCTTTTCATTCATTAAACTGCTGCAAATATATAGAAAAGAAGATACCTTAATTGGTCTTCCGTCGGGTGTGAGCACCTCCTCTGACAGCTCCATCATCTTCAGGGCCATCAGGGCAATTGGCTTTGCATGATTCAGGTTCTGCCTGTGGAGCCCGGCCGCCACACAGTATGCATCGCCTATTGTTTCCACCTGCAGCAATCAGGAAAATCATATGCAAACATATGATAATGAGTAGGGAATTGGTGCCATTAAGTATTTACAATCACCAAATACTGTTTAAAAACATGTTAGCACAGCATCAATAAGAGAAGCTATTAGACAAGAGAGTATAATTGTCCTCCAAGTTTGTAAACAGGCACCATCAAATCTTGACACCTCGCAGCAGTTATTTTCCATAGTGATCAAGAAACCATTGCACTCAAGATAACTTGTTCTACAAAGTGAGTAATAAGAGCTTATAGCAAAAGAAAGTAGATTGTTTGAATTGCCATTACATGGATTACTGGATATGTAATACCAGTAAAAAAGTGTCTACATGCTTTGCAACCGTGGTTCACATTTTTGTTTAGATTGAGGCCCATTCTCAAGGTATTCATTTATTCTTGTAATTATGTTACAAGGGTTCTAGTCTGCTTCCATCAGAATCAACTCTTAAGAGCCATACTATTATCATCTTCCCCAATCAGATTAAAGCAACCAACAAAATACAGAATCCCTATAATTCCACAGTGTAATAATAATAATAATAAAGTTGGAAGGGACCTTGGAGGTCATCGAGTCCAACCCCCTGTTCAGGCAGGAAACCCTATGCCATTTCAAACAAATGGCTGTCCAGTCTCTTCTTAAAAACTTCCAGTGTTGGAGCATTCACCACTTCTGGAGGCAGGTTGTTCCATTGGTTAATTGTTCTAACTGTCAGGAAGTTTCTCCTTAGTTCTAGGTTGCTTCTCTCCTTGATCAGTTTCCATCTGTTGCTTCTTATCCTGCCTTCAGGCACCTTGGAGAATAGCTTGACTCCCTCTTCTTTGTGGCAGCCCCTGAGATATTGGAACACTGCTATCATGTCCCCCCTCGTCCTTCTCTTCGTTAAACTAGACATACCCAATTCCAGCAACCGTTCCTTATATGTTTTAGCCTCCAGTCCCCTAATCATCTTTGTTGCTCTTCTCTGTACTCTTTCTAGAGTCTCAGCATCTTTTTTACATCGTGGTGACCAAAACTGGATGCAGTATTCCAAGTGTGGCCTTACCGAGGCATTGCAAAGTGGTATTAATACTTCATGTGATCTTGTTTCTATCCCTCTGTTAATGCAGCCTAGCACTGTGTTGGCTTTTTTGGCAGCTGCAGCACACTGCTGGCTCATATTTAAGTGATTGTCCACTAGGACTCCGAGATCCCTCTCACAGTTACTACTATTGAGCAAAGTACCCCCTGTACTATACCTGTGCATTTGGTTTTTCTTGCCTAAATGTAGAACCTTACTTTTTTCACCATTGAATTTCATTTTGTTAGATAGCGCCCAGTGTTCAAGTCTGTCCAGGTCCTCCTGTATCTTAAGCCTGTCTTAGTCCTTACTTAACAATTCAAATTAAACTTAATGAGTAAATCATTTAATAATTAAATTCAGTGGCCATTCAAAGTTATGTTGGCAGTGAATAAGGAGACTTACGACCTGTCCTTGTAGTTGCAGCCATTGCAATATCTCTATGATCACAATTCAGGCGCTTGGCAACTGGCTCACAATTATGACAGTCACAGCATCCTACAGTCACATGACTGTGATTTGTAACCTTCCCTGCCAGCTTCCAACAAGCAAAGTTGACAAGGTGGTCACAAATATTGATCACAATCACACAATATCACACTTAAAAATCCCATAGGATTTGCTTAACAACTTGAACTGCTGCAACTGCAATCATGAGGTGACATAGTTATATGACATTGCACTTTATGAGCGCATTGCTTAATACTGGAGTTGTTAGTCCCAATTACTGTTGTTAAGCAAGGACTACCTGTATCACAGTATAGGATCAGGATGCCAACAACATTTTCCTAAAGATAATTAAAACATCTGGCATTCAGAGATGACTAAAGTCCGGAAGGATGACAGCACTTTTAGTTTAATATCTGGGGTGGTTTTGTCAGGATTTATCTGTGAAGATTCTCAGTCATCCAGGTCATGGTTATCCCAAAAGTGCTTTTTCAAGAGACAACTGGACTTTCTTTGTTTTTCCTTGAAGATGTTTTGCTTTTCATCCAAGAAGCTTCTTCAGTTCTGACTGAATGGTGGGGAAAGGAAGGATTTATATTCCTTGCAGCCATCTGGTTGTTAGCACTCTTTCTGAGAATTGCTGAGGTAATTTGGGGGTTTATCTGTACCTTCAGGTTCACATGGAACCTTCTTGGGGACTGCTGAAAGGACTGTGTTGTAGACAGGAAATAGGTGGTGTCATATTCCTCCCCCTCTGTTTGACCAGAATGTGGACTTTTGTGCAGATTTTTTTCAGGAGATCGGAATCTCTGCTTTACAGAGACTTGAAGCAGACACCTATGGAGTCAATTATCTTATTTGTCCTAAAGAAAGGTTCTTAAAGGGAGGAGAAGGATGCCAAGCTGACTTTGACTTGGATTTTTCTTTAGTATTCAATCCCTGACATTGCAGGCTAACAATTTGCAACATTAGTATTTTAACTGGTACACAGTCATAATTCACCGGAAGGCTTGTAGATCAGAGGAAAGGTGCAAGAGAAAAGAAGCAAATAATGCAAATGCAGGCTAGGTAATTTTCTTTTTTTCTTTCTTTATTGGAGTTCCTGCTTTGAATTGCACCTTTAAATCACAGAGAAACAGAGCCAATATTTTGCAGGCAAACTTTCATCTCTTTGTTTACAGAAATACAGCCTTAAAATACTGTTAGAAGTCCCATGTTTTTGATCAGAAATAGTGGATAAAAGTCCTAAATACATGCTGGTTGTCAAATGTGAGAGCTTATTGTAATTCAGTTTTTTCAGTGTTATTGTAACTTCCAATAGTCACTAAATGAGTGGTTCTAAGTCAAGGACTACCTGTATGCTGCCTAATTCCTTGCCCTTGTCATACTACTACCACAAATTAATTAACATGGTTGCCTTAGCATAAATGGTCAATTATACCATTCTGTCTTTAACTGTAAAATATCATCATTTGTTATTAAGATGATCAACAAACATGACAAAGAAATCTATCCCAGACCTTAACCTGAGCACTCAAGTTTTGTTTATTGAGGCATGAAATGCCTGACAATATTTTATTTGAAACAGTTGCATCTGAATTTGTATTTTTCCTTTCTTGCAACAGGCATCAAAAGTGCAATGACTCTTCTGACTTCTATTATTGGGGGGGAAAAAATCAAAGGGCAAAGAGGCAGTGGAGCTTGGAAAGTTTGGTCCACATGAAGAAGATTAAAACAGTTCCTCCCTAGCTGTTCCCAGAATATATCTGTAGTTATGCAAATAGCTGCTTTAGTCTGGCAAGATTCTGTCTATAGAACAATAAAGGAAAAATACTCTTAAATAACTGTACAGGTCATATTTTTTTATTCTTGGGGCCTGACAGAAACCAAAATCATGATTGCTAATATTACTTTTTTTACAGTAACAGAATCTTGCAAGTCGAAATGTGTGCCCCCCTCTCCTTCCTTTATCTTCATGACAATTAAGGAGATGCTTACTTGGATTACAGTTCTAGCTTAGACTCAAATTTGTCTCAGTATTGTCTTGGTAGCAGCTCTTCTTACTATTCCTCAACATTATTCCTCTGCTCATTACAGTGTACTCTAACATATTTTACTTTAGAAGTGTGTATATCATTTTTTCTTGCACCAACTTCAAATCAAAGAGGATGACAGAGGTAACATTACCTGATCTGAACTGCACAAATCAAGATAAACAGATGACAGCATCAAGATACAAAGAAATCTAGAGGTCATCTAGAGCAACAAAGATGATTAGGGGACTGGAGGCTAAAGCATATAAGGAACGGTTGCTGGAATTGGGTATGTCTAGTTTAATGAAGAGAAGGACGAGGGGGGACATGATAGCAGTGTTCCAATATCTCAGGCATTGCCAAAAAGAAGAGGGAGTCAGGCTATTCTCCAAAGCACCTGAAGGCAGGACAAGAAGCAATGGATGGAAACTAATCAAGGAGAGAAGCAACCTAGAACTAATAGAGACTTCCTGACGGTTAGAACAATTAACCAGTGGACCAACCTGCCTCCAGAAGCGGTGAATGCTCCAACTCTGTAGGTTTTTAAGAAGAGACTGGACAGCCATTTGTCCAAAATGGTATAGGGTTTCCTGCCTGAGCAGGGGGTTGGACTAATGACCTCCAAGGTCCCTTCCAAATTTACTATTATTATCCAGAATTGTGCATCCCCAGACAAGAGAATCAGCAATGTACTAAAAATCTGGTAGTAGTGTGTTATTTGGCTAACCTTAACCCTTCTCTCTCCACTACCACCTAAAATAACAATTATGCAAGAAGACATATGTAATTAAATGATTTTGCTTTGCTGTTTTTTTTTTCTCATCCAGTTGCAGGAGTTAAAAAGCTAAGGGAAAGGCGTCACTGCTTAGTACTTGGGAGCTGTTCACAGTGCTGGAGGAGAATTGGCTGCACACTATTTCAATAAAATTCCATATGTGGTTGGTAAAGTATGAGTAGTCCCACGGATTATTTTCTGTCCACTTGTCAAAGCTCTCTCTCTCTCTCTCTCTCTCTCTCTCTCTCTCTCTCTCTCTCTCACACACACACACACACACACACACACACACACACACACACACAGTTGGATAGCATGGGTACTAGAGTATTGCCTTTGACTCAGGAAACCAGGATTCAAATTCAATTGGTACCTTCCCTATTAGTAGGCAAAGACCTCCTAATTTTCTCATGCCTACCTCAAATTATGAAAATGACATATAGTAGAAGAGCCATGACAGTTTGGATGTTACCCAAATTAACAAGATCTGCACCAGATGTTGGGGAACCAGATAAATCTGATGATAAGTGGGCTACTGGAACAAACCATGTATGGTTTCAAGACAAAAGCACCTGGAATTGATGGGATGCTATCACAACATCAGATCTAATGAGAGGCGACATAGGAAACATATGAGGAAACTATAGATGGATAGAAGGCTACATCTCTG